AAAGATTGGACCACAGCACTGGAAGTTTCAAATCAGAATACGAATAAAAGGTCACAAGAAGACAATCATGTTATATCTACTCCCAATCTGCTTTGAGCTGGAAAAGGGGAAAACAAGGAAAATCATTTGAATAACATGCTTGGGAATGGTCAATATGACTAATAAAGATCCAGCACTAGACAAAGTACTCAGTTCAAGAGAATTACACTATTAGACAGCAGATTGGGAAGACTTCATCAAGTAATAAACAGAAGTACGGAACATATCCCTAGAAATCTTGTCAGCGCAAGAATGCCAGTGAAACCTCAAGGCAAGAATCCTCGAGTACCTGAAGTTTTATTAACTCTCCAAATTCATCCACTGAAGCCCGTTGCAACTGAATGCACAAAATCTGCAGGTGGAAAGCACACAAATTTAGCCCTCCGAATATGACAAGGCTCTTGCTAACAAGTGCCTCCAATACACTTGTTAAACATACTTAACTTGGAATGAAGCTATTTTCAAAAGATTGATTTCTCTTAATACGAGGACAATGAGTGCATGGGAAAATTGCAAAATTTCCTAAATTAATTACTTAATCAATACCTTTGGGGCACTCGTTAACAAAATCCACATGAAAATTGTTTTACCTCATGATAGGAGGAGAGAAAAGGAGAAGCTCTACATAAGGAAGGTTATGATCTATCTGGAGTGACTTCCGATTTTTAAAACTCTTTGCTTTTCCTTTTGCTTTCAACATTTCAGATTTGGTTCTATTCACATACATATGTGGACATTTAAGATCATTCAGAATCATCTGGAACTTTTCATTTTTTCACATTAAAAATATTTTTATATAGGAAAGTCAGATAAATGCTTTTTTCATAAAAGGAAAACAACTTAGGCCTTAATCTGTGTTTTCTTTATTGCCATAGCATGGAGTAGCATCCACATTTTCCCATGAGGGAACTTCTGTCGGCCCAATAAGGCTGGCAAACAATGGGATACCTGCTTCAAGCTATGCCCTCATTAAAATTTAAGAAAGTGGGTTTGCGTGTTGACCTCATCCTTCTACACTTCAGTCGTTCATCATTCCAGCATGTCAAAAGAGAAGGCCTTGAGTCAACCAACAATTGGAAAGGAGTCTTACACTTATAAGAGTTAAAGTGTATTAAATTTCACCTTTCATAGTATACTGGAGTAAATCCATCAATTCGAAACAAATATTTGTAGTAAAGTTCCTGAAATTCACTATATAATCTCCAAGAATATCCACTTTTACAACAAATATGATGCTACATCCACTTTATAATGCTTCCAGAAGAATGAGCCACATCTACCATAAAATATTGATAAGCCAATTCTATTTGCGAGAATGAAACATGGTTTTAGATTTCATGAAATTCAACATCCTGTGTAATTGCTGCTGAGCCCACAAGAATGTGCACTATGTATAAAAAGGTGGATGCAGTCAGTGAGAAGCTTAAAAAGAGACTTCAGGAATCTAATTCAACCATTAAAAGAGATCATGGCTTCATTTACATCAAGCGGGGCAAAGACTCAATAGTACCTCTGGCGGGCGAGCGATAGTTGACTGCCTGACAGTATGCGAAAAATCGTTTGACCAAGGTAGCATCTCGAGATTGAACTGATTTTGGCAGTCACATAAATCTCCACCGCTGCATGACTTAAGTTTCATTACATCCATCTGGGGAAAAAGGCACCAAAGCAACATTGACCTATATAAGCACTAAGTAACTTCAAAATTTTTCTAAAATTTTATTCACACTACATGGAGAGATGGGTGGCCTCTAACATCCCAAACCAGGATTAAGGAACTTGCAGATGAGAACGTAGAATATGAACAAATTCAAGTGTAATTCGCCCCAAAGCAGTTGAGAGAGATGGAATAAGTTATGTCTTTCGGAAGGTACCTCACTTGCTCTAACCAATGATACGTACTTCACTGCAGCAATGTGCCAACATCGACTACAATGGTAATTGGAAACTCTCTCGGCAGCAACAAACTGCTTTAAGCAATCTCGCAATGTACAACCTCCTATCTATTCAAACAAATAAGTCCCGTGGTGAAAACAAAATGACAAGGATTTCAAACTATATCTAGGTAAATCCTTAGTGAACTTACAATGGTTGAGCCATTACACAGCACAGGAGAAAGCAGCAAAGTATGGAAAAATTCAAAATTCAGTGAAATCTGCAAGAACAAGAAAAGCCCATTACTCAGAAGATGAATAAGTAGATCACTCCAAGTCTACAACCTATATGTCCAAACCTGAACAACAACATACAATTCAGATCCAAGGTCAGAGTCATAATGTGCATCCGATAAAATGACAAAAGTGACTCATCAAAGCTTTTCAAAACAAATATCCTCGTGAAGGCCATATGAACCTGAGATGAACAACTTTGACATGTTAAAAAGCTACGGATTATCCCATCAAAAGGCCCGAGGAAGTGCTTCTGCCATCTTTGCTGGTCACTTTGGTTGTCTCTATTCTTTGAAGAAAGAACCCTACTGGTAGTATCAGAAACAACGGCTAGAGGACTTTGAACTGGAACGTACCACTCTGAAAATTCCTCCCTTAAGGAGGAGAGAAGATGGAGGAGTGCTTCTGCTGCATCCTAAGCACCAAACAAGGAGATTGCGCTAAAGTCTGCAAATCTTAAAGTCATCAAATAAAGCAATGTAAGAGACATAATAGCACCTGCTGGCTTGTCAAATTGAAATTGGGTATATAATGGGCCATCTCAAGCATCACTCTTCGAGGGCTTAATACTACCCTCCTAATACCAGAAATGCATAGCTCTGCAGAAATGACATGTATCAGTTCTTGATAACTAAGTGAAGAGCAAAGAAAGAAACCTTTGCAATGACCAATAAGATGTTTATATGGTCTAATTGACACTTGAATTTTTTTAATGGTTCAAGGACAAGAAAATCAAAATCTTTCCACTTTTCTTCTGTTTGTTCTTTCAAATTTGGGCTAATAAAAGAAATGATAAACGTTCAATCAAGCTATAAATGTAATACTGCTGCATCTCCATTGGGCATTGTGAAATTCCAGCCAACCATAGGATGAAAAAGGAAACTCCCTACTCAGCTTGCAACTTCTAATTAGCTTCCACCATCAACCCATTTTAAGATTAGCGGAAATATATCGTCTCTTAAGTTGCAACCACAAACTTACAATGAGTCTCCATTAAACTTGAAGTGTTACCTTTGAACAGATCGTCCAATGCAAGGGTTAGTGGCATCATTTCTGCCCTCTCTTCTGCGACTGTCGGTTCACATTCCTCCAAGAACTTGTGAACAAAAGGTTGGAAGCACGAACAACTAGCCAGAGCCTGCAAAAGTTTCCATCTTCTTTAGCCAAACAAAATCAACCCCATCAATCAGACAAATTGCCTTAGCTCAGGCACATGAATATTTTCATTCACACCGAAGCACCCAAATATCATCACACATGCTAATCAAGATTGTCTCTTTGATCAAGATCTTAGTTTCATGTTCCATCCACAAACTCCTTTAAACCAGAGAGCCTTGGCAAAAGTAAAGACACAACAAAGAAAGGGCAAAACAAGAAAACTCAGCCAACAAGCTCGATTACCAACGACAAGAAACCTCGGTACCTGCAAGATTACATTGAGGAAACAGTTGTTACCGAGATTCTGCAAACCGGGCACAGAGTATTTCGCTTCAAGATGATTCTTTCTCTGGAATAACAACGAGAGGCCACCGAAGGACCCGACTATGCCATCTCTTTTCAAGGCGAAGACGAAACCAGCAACACCCACAAGACCAACGAGGGACAGATTGAGCTTAGAAGCAGAAACCCACTTCATGTGCGCAACAGAGGAGCGCTACTTCTCCCCAGGGTCGTGTCTCCGAGCAGCAAAATACCTTCTTCGCTCGCCAAACTCCTCTGCGGAGTCACCGTACGTCTCTGCCTCTCGCAGTACAGACCGCCATTGGGCGGGCCTAGACAGGCTCTGGCGGGGCCGACAGGAAGCATTAGCGGAGCTCAGCCCATGCCCTCTCAGGCTTCGGACTGAAATGCTCTGTCTGAATGAGCAATGAGCAAATGATTATGACTCTTTCGACCCAAAAAAAAAATGATTATGACTCTTTCTCCAAATCTGTGTTCTTCGGTCTCTAGAGCACTCCCAAGCCTCCCAATTATAGGCCAAGAGCGGTCCACTTCAGGCCCAAAATGAAGTATTCATATTTTTTTTCTTGCAAAATGAGAAAAGCTAATGATGTGGAGGCCCATGAAAGGTCCCGCGATTCCCATAAATCGGCTAAGTTCAGATTTTCGGCCAGTACAAGTGGCTTGACCTAGAGCAGCTCGCATGTTGTTTGTGAAACTCGAACGGGTGACGAACTCCAGTTCCCGAGCTAAAAATCCCTAAGAACTCGACCAAGTCTCACGGCTATTAATAAGTTACGTACAATAGAGAGGATAATGTTGCCACCTGGGTTGCGGCGGCCACGGCCAACTAAGACATTTTTGAGGTAGTCAAAGACGGCGGTCCATCGATGGGGAGAGAGGGAGGATGAAGAAGAGGAGATTTTGGGTACTCTATACCATGAAGATTGTTGAGAGTGTGCAGCAAAAGTGGGGAGATAGCCAAGAGAGAGCCCAATATGAGCCTATCAACATATCCAAATGGACTCACATTCACTTAAAAGTTTAAAACAATGAGTTGTTACGAGCCAATTATGATATGTTGACTGCTCAACATAATACTAATTTTCCGATGTGAAATTTCTCTAATACAACTCACTCATGCATCCTACCGGAGATCGTCATCATTGATAGCTATTTCACATAGTGCAATGGCGATTTTATATAGCTGAATAAGAACTCAAGGAGACAGTGATTCATGGGTGTGAAAAAAAAAAACCATGGAGGCCAAATCCGGTTCAAAAGTTTCGCTCATATTGTACCGTGGATTTACTCTCATAGACATACGGTACACATTCAAGCGTTCGCTAGACCTTTGCGGTATGAATAATGCTTGGCATTGTAATTAAAACTGGTTTACAAACAAATACAAGGTCAATTCCGAAATCACAAACGAGTGCATATACAACTAATGAAAATAGAGCGAACAAGAGTATATTCAAAACTGCCTAGAGAAGGAGCTAAAATGGCCAGAATCAGACCAAGTTGGGCAAGCAAAGGATCCTGCTTTTGAACCTGAAGATGAAGAAGAAGGTGGTGACGACAACAAATTAGAAGACGCAAGATCAGGATCAGGAGACAACCAAGAGCACCATTTGTCAAAGCCTTGATCCAGACCTGAAACCAACTGAGGTTCTGTGCTCTCCGGAGCGGACAAAAGGGTCATTTCGGCATCCGAAACAGCCACCTGGTTCGCGGGAGGATCGGCCAGGGAGAGGTGGGCGACGACATTCTCAGGGAAGTTGAGCTTGGCCTTGTTGCCTCGGTATTTCAAGGCCGCGACGTCATACGCTCGGGCTGCCGCTTCTGCCGTCTCAAACGTGCCTAGCCAAACCCTTGCAGCCTTGACCGGGTCTCGGATCTCAGCTGCCCACTTCCCCCACGGCCTCTGTCTCACTCCTCTGTATTTTCTTCTTGGTTGGTGTTCGTACTTGGACATCGACATCATAGTTGTACTGTTGCTATACTCATACGTTGGAGTTGCATGGTTTGTTGTGTTCATGCTGGGACCTTCCATGATGCCTATAACAAAGAGTTGGAAAAGAAAGTACAAAGAAGCATGTAAAGGTTCAGACCACAAAATATATATGTAGAAAGAAAGCACAAAAAAGTATGGGAAGGTTCACACCGCAAAATGTGTAGCACAACTTGGCGATATCACATGCTAATCAAATGTATAATGTTTGTTTTTAGTTTTTAATAGGACAAATGACTCAAATGGTCTATGAACTTTGACCCAATGTGTAATGTGGTCCCTAAAATTTAAATTTGTTCAATGTGGTTATTGAACTTTAGCCCAATCGGCAATGTCATTCCTGAACTTCTAATTTGTCACCTTGGACTTTTAAAAAAATGTTCAATGTAGTCTCAGGACTGTATAAAAATGTTTAATATTGTCCTTGAACTTGAATTAATGGAATGACAATATTGAATATTTTCAGGAATAATATTGAATATTTTCATACAATTCATGGACTAAATTGAATATTCACCAAAAGTCCAGAGACCACATTGAATACATTAAAAGTTACATTGCACATTGAACAAATTAAAAATTCAGAAACCACATTGAATAAATTTAAATTTTAGGGTCCATTTATGTCATTATTCTTTTCTAATATACATTTTGAGAACAAGATCATTTCATTATAAAGTATATAATATCACGTCAGTGCGTCGTAGCATACTATTGTTATATAAATGTTAGAAACGTGTTAAAGTGCAAGGAAAGGATGACCTATGAGCTTAAATCGATAATTGTGTTGATAGGTGATACTTAGGACGCTAGATAATCCGACGACAGTGATTGTCTCCAACAAATGAAATAAATGTGCTCCATAAGCTAAAGCGAATATAAATTATTAACTACAATGCAAAAGTGGAGTTAAAGTGTATCTCAGATATGATATTAGCAGTCTATACCTAAAACTCGCGATTTATAGTATCAGATATGTAGATGATTATGTCTTCCGTTAGATTTATGTAAAAGGTAAAGCCAATGATATTGAGTTCTATATGCAAAGTATTTCATAGCACGCATCATCTCCAACTTAGCATCTCAACGTTTCATTATCGTTATAATTTTATCGGATGTCTCTGGAAAACCATTAAACTCATATCCATCGCAATTACCTCTCGCAGCATCGACTGATGATCCTCTTCCAGGGGCTCTCCAAAGCGCCTCAACCGATGCCTCGGCCAACGAATCTCCGCCGCCTCTCTTCAGTCGCAGGACTCCGGGGGGAAAGGAGCACGACCCCTCGGCGTCGCTGGGAACATCTCCGGCCACCACGCGCGTCAGGGCCAGGACCATGGCCGACATCTCTCGTTCCCTGTCCACCCCGGGATGGAAGACCGGCGCTTCGCCACTCTGGTCGGCCGCCTTCGGCTCCGGCATCATGGCTCGCGTACACCCCAGTGCCCCTTGTACTTACTCACTGTCAAGGCCCTCAACTCAAAGGCTCGAGAAAGACTCAGCGAAACTCATTGAACAGAAGGAGGGTCGGATAAATAGAAGGGGCAGCGCGGCTAGTGGATTGGGTTGGTGAATGGGGGCAATGTAAACGCCGCCTTTCGACTTCGGAGAGACGGATGTAAACTTTGCGCATGAGTTGACGAAAACAGGTGAGGAAGGACGGACGGAGAAAAGAGTTACGTATCAGAGTCCAAAGAGCATGGTGCTGGTGTGAACGTTGACGTCGGTACAGAGGGTGGTGGGGCACTGGGGGATATCATAATTACAATCTCGCGGTTGTTTAACGTCGGCATTATTATCTATTTTCGTGAGACCAAAGCTCAGTTGTGAAGATATCCTAATCATGGGTTTCCACTGTATTGTCCTGGAGCTTTCGCATACTGTTTCATCTTTTGATGGGAGCGATTGGCGGACGACGACGACGCCGACAAGACTGCGTGTTTTGGATAGCGGGAGCGAGAAGGAATCCCGATCGACATAGAAAGGGGAGAAAGACGGAAGGAGCCAAAAGAAAATCTAAGGATTTTTGTCGTTTAGCTGCCCACGTGGGCTCTCGCGATTGGTGACTGAAGCGGCGGTGACATGGCACCCGGACTGCTCCCCGAAGCTCAGAAAAGAAAAAAGCCAAAAGGGGGAGGGGGTGGGGTCAACGCTCGACTCTCGTGTGGGACGCGGTTTCACCACGTCCCGGACATCAGCTCGGTGTCATACGAGTTAACTTTAGTGATTCATGACAATTGTCAATTAATCCATATCCTTTTGGATGAGAACGACCTTATCAACCAATCAAATTGCAACGCATAGAGATAGCGAAGTTAACGAGAATAGATGTCGTTAGGGGTGAGCATGATGGACCGTCCAAATCGAGATCGGACCGACCTGGATTTTTGGTCCTGGGTCGAGAAAGATCGATCCAGGTTCCCGATTTCTAAAAAGTGGGATCGGTTGGGCGGTCCGGTTCTCGGTTCTAGGTGAGAAGGACCGGACCATATATATATTTTTTATTTTTTTTATTTTTTGAAGAAAAAAGAAAGCCTAATCTATTCCCTCTTGCCTTTACCAATTTTTTTAAGGATTGGTTCCATTGGAAAATGGAATTTGTTCCATTAGAACGTGATTGGTTCCATTTGAAAATAGAAAAATAAATACATTTATTTATTTAAAATGGAAAGCCTAATTTAAAAGTACGTGATCGGTCCCATTGAAACCGGACCGGACCATGGTCCTAGGACTAACCAGTCCGATCCTCGATCCTAGAAAATGGAAACCGGTCCTCGCGATCCGGTTTCCGATTCTTGGGTGAGACCAGATCAGACCGGGAACCGCTCACCCCTAGATGTTATAGGTCCGCTTTGGAGTCATCTAAGAGAGAGTTTGTCTTACAATCTTAAGTATTTTCTATCGACCGACCTGTGTTCGGTTTCGAGTCCAGGTATCCTTTTGATGGAAAGCTAAAAAGTTGCAAAACAAACCACTTCATACTTCATGCAAACATTAAGATATACACGTTCAAAGTTCAACAACCCACATCAGTATTTGAAGCTATACAGATAACTTGTCACTCAGATTAAAACCTATGGTACCAAAGCTTTTTCGGCTAAACCGAGCATACAAGCCGTGTGCTCCATTCACCATGGCTATAACAGGGCCGAGCCAAAAGCACCGCATCTTATGCATCTGTTTAGGGAACTCACTTCAACTTCCACATGCCATGCATTCTTCCCTATTTGTCAAGGAACACACCACCTGAGCCATTTTTGTGCCGTCGTCTTCAGCTGTAGTGGTTTCCTGCATCACCAAACAAAAATAGGCATAAAGCGAATGAACTCCACATAAGTTGAAATGCAAGAGTCCAAACAGATGTCAAATGTATAGCCCTACTTTCATAACTGAAGTGTCCACCGTGAACTTGATTGCATCAGCTGCGGCACGGGTTCGCAAATAGTACATCCCTGTTTTTAGTCCCTTTCATGACAAACATTAATAAGTGAGATGAGATGCTCAAGATTAGCTTGGTTAACAAGTTTTCCCCAAAGCTCTATGAATAAGCATAGATAAGCAAAGACTGTTAAGTGTAAAAGAACAAAGAATATGTACCCTGGTCCACGCATAGAAGTGTAGGGAAGTTAGCTTTCCAAAATTAGGTTGATCCATATGAATATTTAAGCTTTGACTCTGGTCAATGAAGCTTCCACGGTCTGCAGCCATGTCAACCAACGTCTTCTGCTTGATCTCCCACACGGTCCTGTGAGCAAGTGAATTTCTTAGCACGAGACAAGGCATAACACTGAGGGGGGTGAAGGAATATCCAGTGAAAAACTATTACATACTTGTATATAAGCTTTAGGTCTTCAGGAACCTCTGGAATCTTCTGAACAGAGCCGTTCTCATATATTATCTTGTTCTTGACGACCGGAGACCAAAGCCCCATCTCCGTCAAGTCATGAAGAAGATGTTTGTTCACAACAACAAATTCACCGCTGCAAAGAGAAACAAAGATGGACACATGGTCAGAAGTTGCATAACCATATGAAATATATTGCAACAGATACTGATGCCCAAAAGAAACCTTAGAACTCTTCGGCTGTATATGTTGGAAGTATATGGCTCAAAGCACTCATTATTCCCAAGAATTTGACTGGTTGAAGCAGTCGGCATGGGAGCTATAAGAAGCGAGTTCCTCACTCCATTCTTTGATATCATTTTCCTAAGAGCAACCCAGTCCCAACGATCCGATGGAGTCACATTCCACATATCTGGCTGAAGAACACCCTAAAGCATGGTTCAAAACATTGCCAGTTAGGCTTAATTCAAGATGGCCTACCAATACCTATAACATTCTGAATAAAAAACAGGTAACATCCCGAAAAGTGTCATGTGAATCAGTAGCACCCAAATGAACTGTTTATTTTTATCTTTTCTACCTTTCGGTACAAGCTATAACACTACAACAATACAGAGAATCACAAGCCTACTTGGGAATCACAACACTAAAAAATTGGCTCCTTGCAGAAATATACCTTGCTGACAGGACTTCCTTCATATGTCTCATAGGGCCCTTCTATTGCAGCCAGCTCAGTGGAAGTCTTCAAAGCATGGTAGTATATGGTTTCAAAGATGTCTTTGTTTAACTGCTGAGCCTGAAAGTCCACAGCAAAAACTACTGATAAGAACAGATGGAATCACAATCACCAAAACAAATCAAGATTGAACTTGGCTTACCTCTGGTGCATCAAATGCCATGCCGAGCAAAATAAATGTATCAGCAAGTCCTTGCACGCCAATGCCAATTGGCCTATGTCGTAAGTTTGACCTTCTAGCAGTTTCAACAGGGTAGTAATTGACATTGATAATCTTGTTCAGGTTCGTAGTAACAATTGCAGTAACCTAACCAGACATTACAAGGACATAAGCTTCATCACTAAAATTTAATGGAGTCAAAGAGCAAATAGCGTGTCCGGTGAGTTAAAACGCAAACCTCTGCCAGTTTGTCAAAGTCAAAATATCTATTCTTGAATCCCCTACTCCCGACAAGCTTAGATGGACTTGATTCCATTCCCTGTGATCAAGAACAGTTAAAATGTAACCAACAAAAGGACATATTAATGGAGCAAAACCAAGGAGAGAACTCCTTATGGAAAGTCATGCCATACCTTCTCTCGGACAAATCTTGGCAAAGCAATAGATGCAAGATTACACACAGCCGTTTCTGTTGGACTTGTGTACTCAATAATCTCAGTGCAGAGGTTGGAAGATTTGATGGTACCCAGGTTCTGCTGGTTGCTCTTTCTATTGCAAGTATCCTACATGAACAATAAGATCAGACAAAAAACCTAGAATATTCCCGTGAAAATCAATGTAGAACAATAGCCCATAGAACATAGATTAGAGAGAAAATTTCCTCACCTTAAAAAGCATGTAGGGGTTTCCAGTTTCGATTTGGGCCTTCAGTATTTCAAACCATAAATTCTGGGCCTGGACAACCTTCTTTGCTTTACCCTGCATACAGAGTGAAACAATTATAGTCAGCTTTAAACAGACATGTTTCAAGATGTACAACAATCAAAATTAAGTAGTAGGGTGGACTGACAATAGTTACCTCTCTTTCATAGTGCAAATACAACTTTTCAAATTCTTCCCCCCAACAATCTGCCAAACCTGGAGCTTCATTTGGACAGAAAAGTGACCAATTGCCATTACTTTGAACCCTTTCCATGAATAGATCAGGCACCCAAAGGGCATAAAACAGATCCCGAGCCCGATGCTCTTCCTACAATATCAAAGTTCATCAACAATGAGAAGAAACTATTTCAGACAAAAATATTCTATTGGCACATGCAATTACACAAATGAGAGCCAAATTCATTGGCATATTATCTATACCTTCCCATGGTTTTTCCTGAGATCAAGAAACTCAAAGACATCAGCGTGCCAAGGCTCCAAGTAGACGGCAAAAGCACCTAAATGCAGCATGAATAACAGATTAAAGGAATGAAATATTACAAGGGCATCACTAGAAAACAGAAAACCAGAGAAAAGAATAGAGATGGCATGCTAAAATCACCTTTTCTCTTGCCACCCCCTTGATCTACGTAACGAGCTGTATCATTAAATACTCGTAGCATTGGAACAATGCCATTGGAAGTTCCGTTCGTCCCACGTATGTAACTACCAGTGGCACGAATATTATGAACAGATACACCAATCCCTCCAGCCGATTTGCTGATAACAGCACACTCTTTCAAGGTATCATATATGCCCTCAATACTATCTTCTTTCATGCACACAAGGAAGCAACTGCTTAACTGCCAATACGAATCAACAGTATGATGTCAGTGAAATTGGAAATTCAAAACAGCAGAAACATGCAATTCCCAATGGATATCAAATCTCGGCCTTATGCATGCAATGCACGTACTTGGGGTCGAGGTGTTCCTGCATTGAACAGGGTGGGGGAAGCATGTGTGAACCATCGCTGAGACATCATATGATACGTTTTGATCACAGAATCAATATCATCCTTGTGAATTCCAACAGCAACCCTCATCAGCATGTGCTGAGGTCTTTCCACAACCTTCCCTTGCACCTTCAGAAGGTAAGACCTCTCAAGTGTTTTGAAACCAAAGTAGTCATAGTCAAAGTCTCGGTCATAGATGATTTCACTGTCCAAACGAGCAGCATTCTGCAAGACAAAAAAAGAAGAAGCACAAACTTAATCATAAGAAGCCTCACTTCTATAAGCAATCATTACATTTCCAGAACAGCTACCATCTCAAGGCCTAATTTCACAAGTAGGAAACATGTCCAACAAAGTTGCCAGCCAGTTACCTTCATAATTATCTCATAAACATCATCAGCAATCAGAGGAGCCTTTTGCCCCGACCTCTCATTGAAATGGTAGTACATATCCTTGATTCTGCATCAGAAATTAAAAGGAAATGACAATCAATATTTTTTCAATAAAGGAAATGAGCATCTTATGCACCTGACAAGACAGTTTCAATAATACATCAGTAAGCGACGAATTTAATAACACTTACGTCTCTGAAAATGACTTTTTGGTGTTCTTGTGAAGATTTGAAACAGCAATCCTAGCAGCCAACTGCAGAACAATATCATAGGACATCAGATCAAGTCCTTATAATCTGCGGCTGGATAACGCGCCAATTGCTTATGTAAAAGGCAAATCATGCACACTTTGGTGCCCTAATTACAATATTACTTCAAATATTCAAAGCCTAATTAGTTTAACTGATTGGACCAACTAGACACCACTTGAAATGAGCACGATGGCCATACAGAAACGCAGATCATCTACTGAGGCAGACCCATCTCACAAATCCATAATCATTGGCATGATCACTACCAAAACAATAGAAAAAACATTCAGACAAAAGAATCTCACCCATCACGCCTGAGCCATACAGAAATAAACACTAGAAAATGCACAAGCGTAATCAGGGCGAAACATTAACAGACTCGACGATCTCAATCGATTGCCTGGAGGACCGATTTCAATTTCAAGCGAACAAAAATGAACGAGCATCCAACTCACGCAAGCATAGTCAGGGTGATTGGCAGTCAAGGCAGCGGCGGTCTCCGCGGCCAATTCATCGAGCTGACTGGTGGTAACGCCCTTGTAGACCCCGGCGCAGACCTTCTGCGCCACCGAGACCGGGTCGCAGTGCTCCGTGCTCAGCCCGTAACTCAGCTTCTTCAACCTCGCGGTGATCTTGTCGAAGTGCACCGACTCCTGACGCCCGTCTCTCTTCACCACATACATCTTCGCTCCGGCCGACACGCTCTCAGAGGAATTCCTACAAACAGGTCTCCCGCACAGACGGAAGCAGCCGATGGGTCGGATTTATATAACCCCCGAGGTGCGCCTGCGTACTCAGGAAGACTGGATTCGAAATTCGTAATTGAGGGTCGGTTTGATTTTCCCTCTACTGTGACCAATTCGGGTAAAGTTTGAAACTTTGGCGCCAAAAGGCGAGTTCTTTTCTCTGTGTGCTGGCCCTTCTTCTCTGCGTAGTTGGAGGGTTTGAAACAGGGGAGGGGGATTCGAACGGCTGGAGATGAGCTGTCGTGGGGCCAAAATGGCACTAATTAAAAGCGACCCACTAATTAAAAGCGACCCACATGAGATTTTGAGGGGAAATTGGAAGGAATCCAGGGAAAGTTAAGGCACGTAATGGAGCGTCGTCCTTTTGGGTTTGGCGCAACTTTTCGATTTTGGCGCCCACTGATATGTAAGAGATAGAGATAGAGATAGAGAGAGAGAGAGAGAGAGAGAGAGAGAGAGAGAAATTATTCATTTAATGGCAATTTCGCTCACATTTGTGAAAAGAAATCTGGAATTAAATGATCAAATTTCAAGAATGGTCGACTTTGCCATTATTACAAGAGAGGAAGTATTTCCGATTTTGAAAAAGACAGAGCGTTGAAAAAGCGGTGGAGGGTTATATATAAATTGCCCATTATTTTTTTTTTAAATTAAATGACATTCGAAGTGTTTATAGTAAAATAGTAAGTTTTGCTTTCGATTAAAGGCAAACAAACCAACCCTTTCCCTTGCAAAGGAGTTGCTATTCTCTTGTTGCTTATGAAATTGTCTAAGCAGAGGCAATAGCCTAGGAACGTTAGAATTAGTATATATTAAATCACGCCTTCATAATTAACGGTGATCCTACAAAATCTCACATGACATCATAATTGAAGGTCCTGAGTTAAAATCTTTCCAAGCTCCAATTGTCTCTTCAATTAAATATTTTCACGCTTAGTACTAGGCAAAAAAAGACCAAACTAAGCTAGAACAGTTGGTGGTAATCCCACAAAATCTCACAGGAACCCTTGACAAATAATAGGGCCCTAGTCTTTATGGGAAATTCGATTATTTTTGCATGCCTATCTCAATATTCCAAATTTCAATATTTACATTCTCAACATCAAGAACCCTATTTTTATTTTCTCAAAATTGAGTTTTATTGAACTTTATCGACTTCTTAGGAACCCTTGCAACATTCTACGTTTTTTTTAAACGGGAAAAGTACATATTTGGTTCTTAAACTTTTATTGTTTTTACAAGGCATAATACCTTAAAAAAACTCTAACTTCATATCTGGTCCCAATTCTACCCTAAGTTTTTTTTGTTCAATAAAAATCCTCCAATCTTAGATTCAGTCCCAATTCTATCCTAAACTTTTTTTTTTGTCCCATTAAAGACCCTCAACTTTATGTCACAACCCAATTCTACCGCCCAGTCCCATTTCGCTTAAATTTTTTTTGTCTCATAAAAAATCACCAACTTTTACTCGAATCACAAATCTCTCTCTATTAACCCTCCAGCCAAAATTTCTCGTTGACAATTGAAAGATGGAAAACCTTCAAGCACGGGTTGTACGAGCGTCCGTGGCCGAGTGTCCCGAGCGCGCGAGATGGAACACTCTCAAGTACGAGAGTCGAAGATTCTCGAGCGAGATGAAAGGAAGACTTTCTTAAGAGTAAGAGCAATTGAAGAAAGCTAATCCTAATTGCTCTAGTTTATACCCAAATTTCATATTCAAGAAAACGTTGTTTGGGTTGATATAGAAATTCATATCCAAAGGACGTATTCTTGGATCTGAAATTTGGAGGAAAACTAAAGCGATAATGTGGAAATACCACATAATATCACCAAGGGTGATTTTGGACGGAGGGCTAATGGCGGTAGATTTGGGACTTAAGTAAAAGTTTATGAGTTTTTATGAAACAAAAAAAGTTAAGATAAAATTGGAACTTGACCTAAAGTTGGGGCTTTTTTTTATAAGATAAAAAAAAGTTTAGGGTAAAATTGGGATTAGATCTAAAGTTGGGGTTTTTTACGAGATAAAAAAAGTTTAGGATATAATTGGGATTGGAGCTCCAATTGGGGATTTTTTTTTTATGGTATTAAGCCATTTTTACAAGGGTTAATACCACAAAAAACCCTAAACTGGTACACTTGTGACACATTTACCCCAAACTATTTTTTTGACCATAAAAAACCCGAAACTGGTATACCTGTGATAATTTTACCCTGAACTATTTTTTTGACCACCAAAAACCCCAAACTGGTATACCTGTGACAATTTTACACTGAACTTACCACAAAAAACCCCAAACTGGTACATATGTGACAATTTTACCCTGAATTAAAATTTTAATATTATTTTTTTCGAATTTTTATTTATTTTTTATTCTTTTTTTTTTTTTTCATCTTCACACCCTGGCCGGTCGCCGGTCCGGCGACCGGCCAGAGGCGGAAGCCGGCGAGGGCGGCCCTCGTCCGACGCAGCGAGGGTCGCCCTCGCTGCATCCGGCGAGGGCGACCCTCCAGTATCTGGCGAGGGCTGGTCCGCCTCGCTGGGCCCCTGGCGGGCGGCCCTCGCCCGACGCCGGATTTGGCGAGGGTCGCCCTTGCCCCAAGTGTGCGAGGACGGCCCTCGCCCGACGCAGCGAGGGTCGCCCTTGCCAGATCCGGCGAGGGCGGCCTTCGCCCGACGCAGGCGAGGGTCGCCCTCGCCCGACACCGAGCGAGGGCGGCCCTCGCCCGACACGGCGAGGGCGGCCCTCGGGACGCCGGCAGGGCGGTCCTCCCGCCCGCCTACGGCCGGTCGCCGGACCGGCGACCGACTAAAGGTTGAAGGTGAAGGAAAAAAAAAGAAAAGAAAAGAAAAGAAAAAATTCAAAAAAAATTCAAAAAATTAAAAAATATATATAAAAAATTAGTTCGGGTTAAAATGGTCGCATGTGTACCAGTTTAGGGTTTTTTGTGGTATGTTTGGGGTAAAATTGTCACAGGTGTACCAGTTTGAGGTTTTTTATGGTAAAAAAAATAGTTTGGGGTAAATGTGTCACAAGTGTATCAATTTAGGGTTTTTCGTGGTATTAACCCTTTTTACAATGTAGTCAGTAAGCTTGTGAGTTATACAATTAAGTCATTAAACTCGTAAATTTTTCCAATCAAATCCTTTTATCTCCATTTCTAGCGAATAGAAGATGATGAACAATGGCCGCCAGTCGAAAGCTTGGAATGAAAAGCTATTGAGGTAGCCATCTTCTGCTTGCTTCATCTGGTCGATTACAAGATGGATTATGATTATATATTTTGATCCAAATAGCAAAAACTGTTAAATAAATTACTCTCGGACATTAGAGAAAGAGAGAGAGAGATGGGTTTTGGAGTGTATATAAATTTATTTATTATTCGATGAGCTTTTACACAAATATATCAAAGCCATATACACCATTTCAGAGACTTTAGTGCATCAGATTTTGCCTCTGGAGTGAATTTGAACGAAACATAGGTGGATATTGGCAAGCACATAAGAAATCGTCACATCAACAGTGTCTCGGGTCTCCACAATCGCTGACAGTCTTGCATGGTTTGGTGACGTTCCGCGCTTTGACCATCACTTGAGAACCTATACCAAATAACACATGCACATAGGATTAAACCACAAGCATCTCCACTAATACATGCAATTTTTATCTTTAAGTGAGAGAGAGAGAGAGAGCACGAGAGAGAGACCTATTGCAATGACCAAAAACATGAGAAGCAGGATCGACTTCGATGAAAATTTATCCATTATCTGATGAGGTTTGCTTTGCCAATCCCCACTATGCACCTTTATATACAAACTTGACGTAAATGTGAATTAAAAGCTCATGTTATACCATTGATTTCGTCTGGGATCCTCATTAATTGAGCTCGGATATACTAACTCCATATGCAAAAGATCGTCAAATTTTATTTACTCAATTAGATTAGACTATTAGAGTAAAGTGCAATGTATGGACATTAAAGACCCGCCCATATTAAAATATCTTTTCTTTTATTCACATAAACAACCACATAGAAAATTATAAAATGAAAAATTTGAAATTATTAGTGTATGCTCCAGATATATGTATCTCATTTGTACATACTACTTTGGATAATTACCAAAACAGTCCTAAACTTATTACACTTTACCAATTCAGTCATAAACGTCTTAATTTGTTAAATTCATTCTTAAACCTTTTGAAAATTTGTCAATGTAGTTTATCTGATCAATTTTGATCGAAAATCGTTGTCGTGGACATTGATTGTCCTGTATGGCATGACCGATGCTGATATGGATATCGGTTGTCCTACGTGGCTTGGTCGGTGCTGACATTGACAATAATTGCAATTTTTTAAAATTTTTGTGATTTCTTTTAAAAAGATTTTGTTGACTTTTTATCTTTGTTTTGTTTTGTTTTTTATTTCCTTTTTATTTCCTTCTTCCTCCACTTGTCATTAGGTCTCCCCAAAGGCCAACAATCAGCCACAGGTGAGGGTCAACCTTGCTGGCCTCGAGCGAGGCTCGACAAAGGTCACCCTTTGCTAGCCTCGGGCAACCTTGTCAGCCTCTAGTGAAGCTGGCAAGGTGACCTTACCAGGCTTGGGTGACCTTGCCCCTGAAGGTGGGCCTTGCTCAGTGTGCGAGGCTGGCAAGGCGACCCTCGCCTATGGCCAATCGTCAGCCATCACAGAGGCCTGGCTGTTGGTGGAGGAAAAAGAAAAGAAAAGAAAATTATAAAAATTTTCCACGTTAGTGTTGGTTGTCGACGGCTGTGCCATGTGAGACGGTCGGCGTCCACATTAGAGATTTCTGGCCAAAATTAACCGGATGGGCTACATTGGCAAATTGTCAAAGGTTTAAGACTAAATTTGTGAAATTGAAATGCTTGACTGAATTGGCACAAATGCAATAAATTAAGAATTTTTTGGTAATTTTCCCAACTACTTGATATTAGAATTTATTGATAAAGTCAACTATCTAGTCTTGTGCATTGCATATGGTTAATTATTTGATGTCAAGAATACTTATTAGATTGATTTTACATAAACCGTTAAATATGTGACCCAACTGAAGTTATGTAGGTTTTTTTTTTGGTTGATATGTAGTTGAATAGCTCGTGATATCTATGTCGATGAATGTGAAAAGAACTAAGCGCGCACCAATTATATGTATGAGTTATTATAACTAGTCTAAAAAAATATATACCACTCCTTTTGTTTGTCATTACTTTCCAGGCAAGAAGAGCAATTGAAATGGAATTTTGGATCATATGTATCATTATCTAAAGAGGCTAACACAGAGACCGAGAGGGGGGGTGAGTTTGGTCTATTTAATTTTCACGAAATACTTAAATAAAAACTATTCGTAGAAGGAAAACTGATGAAGAGATGCAAAAGATTTTATCAAATAAAAGATGAATAAGTTGAAGAGATAGAGAGATTTGCAAACAGATACGTACTTGTTCAATCAATCCCTTCGATAGATCAGTCTCCCAAACTAATAATCACAAATCAAGCTGGAATCAACTAGTAAACTCAGAAGGCTACCGATAATAGCAGGTGCTGCTTGTCAATCCCACATATGTTGTGCATTTAAGACAACGCACGTAAATGTTTTCTTGACCCAGACTGCGTGCCCTGTTCAATTTGTTTTTTTTTTTGGAAAAATAAATAGGAATATGATTGGTAGTATATACTAAAATCCTATTGGTATTTGAGAAAGGGAGCTTTTCCCCAGTATTCTCCACGTGAATTTCATTAGACGACTTTATTTTTAGTTCTTCTTAGTTGGCTATTACAGTCATATCCATCGCTCTATAAAGAACATAATTAATTGCTTTTTTAGACAAAAAAATTCGGGACTGATTTGGGACTAAAGTTAAAGTTGGTGACTTTTTAAGGAAAAAAAAATGTTTAGGATATATTTAGGACTGGACCTAAAGTCGAGTTTTTTTAGAAAAAGAAGTTTGGAGCAGATTTGAACTGGACCAAAAGTTGGGTCTTTTTAGACAAAAAGAGTTCGGAGCAAAATTAAGACTGGACCGAAAGTTGGGGTTTTTTTTAGGGAATTTGGCCATATATGAAGTGGGTCTTCATTGTGTAGAGTATCCAAGAGGATGATTCTTTGTGAATTACACCTTGAAGCAATTTGAGAGTGTTGAAGCCAATTTAGTCTTGTAAATAATATTTATGAATTCCTTTGTGATATTGATAGATTATTTCGTGAGGAATTATGGGGCTCACTTTGTGAGTTATTGGATGTAATTGGGATTTGGAAACATCAAGGGTATTTGAGTGACTCGAGTATAGTGGTAATATCAGTTGCATATCTATAGCGGAAGTTTGTGCTACTCTCCCCATAGACGTAGATGACATCGATGAATCACGTAAATCTAGTATCCGGTTTATTTTCTTATTCTATTTATTTTATTGTTCAATTTTTTTTTCCTCAACAATTTGTATCAGAGCTAGGCTTGATTGAGTTGAAGCGAATTGATGGCCACAAAAGAAGGAAAAGTGAATATCGACAAATTTGATTGGAAATATTTTGGTTTCCAGAAGATGCAGATTGAGGATTATTTGTACTAGAGTAATCTACATGTACCCCTGTTTGGAAAAAGCCAGAGTCGATGAACCAAGTTGATTTGGAATTATTGTATAGATAAGCGTCGGGTGTTATTCAGTAGACATTGGCTTGTAACATGGCGTTTAACATCATGAAAGAGAAGATCACCGTGGGTTTGATGAAGACCCTATCAAACATATACGATAAGCCTTCTACGATTAATAAGGTCTATTTGGCAACGTTTATGTACTTTGATTATATTATCCTCATACCTTAACAGTTGGAATACTATTGTTATTTTCGTTACAAATTCCTTTAGGCCAACAAACAAGGTTTGTTGGGGTTTACGATTTGATTCTGAGTGAAGAGATCCATAAGAGAGAATTTGGTGAACTAAAGTTTGTTGAGGTTCACAATTTGATTCTAAGTGAAGACATCCATAATAGATAATTGGGAAAATTGTCCAAAAAATCCTAAACCTAATGCTAATTCAGTCCTAAACCTTTTAAGTTTTTCAATTGAGTCCTAAATCTTTTCACTTTTTGCCAATTGAGTCCATTCGGCCAATTTTGACTGCCCGGAGTTGACGTGGATGCCAGTCGGCGCCAGACGTTTTGGCAAACGCTGACGTGGCAATTTTTAATAATATTTTAATTTTTTTTTATTTTTTTAATTTTTTTTCCTTTTTTTTCTGGTCTTCTTCCCTCTGGCCGGTTGCCGGACCGGCCGGAGGCGAGAGGCCGATGAGCTTGACGTCTCCGGCTTCTAGCAAAGCCCGCCCCCGCCGGCAACTGGCAAGGGCGAGGCCAGGTGAGGCCGACCTCGCCGTCACTGGGCGAGGCCGACCTCGCTGTTGTTGGGCGAGGTTCGACCTTGCCTAGCTAGGGGCCGGCGAGGCTCGCCCTCGCCAGTGGATAGAGGGGGCCAGCTTTGCCTCGCTGGCCTCTCGCCTTTGGCCGGTTCGGAAGGAAGAAGACCAAAAAAAAAGGGAAAAAAAAATATTATATAAAAATTGCCATGTCAGCGTTTACCGGATGGCCGGCGTCCACGTTAGCTCCGGGTGGCCAAAATTGGCCGGATGGGCTCAATTGGCAAGAAGTGAAAAGGTTTAGGACTCAATTGGCAAACTCAAAAGGTTTATGACTGAATTGGCAAAAGTGCAATAGATTTAGGACTTTTTGGACAATTTTCCCTAGATAATTTGGTGAACTTGTACATGCTGCTTTATTAGGTGAAGGTAGATGAAGAATCAGTAATCATTAGGGATGATTGGTTTCTAGTCCGGTTCGATCATGTCCCACCTATGAATTGAGGAACCAGACTAAGAGGACTGGTTCCCAATTTTTGGAACTGGAAACTAGACCTGACCGGACCGACCCCTAGGCAGTCCAACAGAACCGGTGAAGTATCAGCAAGCCAACCTCCTCCTCTCTCAGCTTCATGGAAAATACGTGAGAAACCTAAGCAGAACAAACCCCATAATCACCAATCTACGGTCTCACTCAAAGAACACTTCTGTTCAGCACAAGATTTGGCGGGCGTAGCGTGATTCATCCTCCACAAACCTCTCTCTAGTGAAGCTCATCCCCACCAGCAGCTCTCAAGCAAGAATTGACGACAAGAAAAGAAACAAGGTAGTTTTGGGTTCTAAATTTTTGTGTGGAAAAGGTTAATAATTCATCAAGTGGTATTTTGAGAACACACAAAAGAGAGACATATTATCGTGAGCTTACTAACTGATAAAATTAAGTGCCCATTAATCATTACAACTTTATAAAAGTCTATGGATATACTCAAATTTATATTGAGCATGTCTTGATTGACTTTTACTTTTTTTTGTTTAACCAAAATCTTGCGGCTCCTGGACTTGAACTCTTTAATCCAAAAGAGCAAAAATTTTAAAATATATAAAAGTTCACAAGTAGAATTATATATAAATTGCCCATTATTTTTTAAATTTAAATAATATTTTAAGTGTTTATTGTAAAAAAGTAAGTTTTGTTTTCGATTAAAGGCAAACAAACAGACCCTTTCCCTTACAAAGGATTTTCTACTCTCTTGTTGCTTATGAAATTGTCTAAGCAGAGGCAATAGCCTAGGGAGCCTTGGCAAGTAATAGGGCCCTAGTCTTTATGGGAAAATCGATTATTTTTACATGCCTATCACAATATCCCAAATTTCAATATTTACATTCTCAACATCAAACCCTATTTTTATTTTCTCAAACTTGAGTTTTATTGAAATTTATCGACTTCTTAGGAACCCTAGAAACATTCTATGTTTTTTTAAAAAAGGGAAAAGTACATATTTAGTTCTCAAACTTTTATTGTTTTTACAAGGCCTAATACCCTAAAAAAACTCCAAGTTTAGGTCCGGTCTCAATTTTACCCTAAACTTTTTTTTCCCATAAAAATCCTCAAACCTTAGATCCAGTCGCAATTCTATCCTAAACTTTTTTTTGTCCCATGAAAAACCCCCAACTTTATGTTCCCAATTCTACCGCCCGTCCCAATTTTGCTTTATTTTTTTTATCTCATAAAAAACTACCAATTTTTACTTGAGTCATAAATTTGTTCTCATTAACCCTCCGTCCAAAATTTCTTGTTGACAATTAAGAGATGGAAAACCTCCAAGCACAAGTTGTGCGAACGTCCTCGGCCGAGTGTCCTGAGCGTGAGAGATGAAACACTTTCAAGCACGAGAGATTGAAGAACGAGTGCAAAATTAAAGATTATCAAGCAAGATGAAAGGAAGACTCTCTTAAGAGTAAGAGCAATTGAAGAAAGCTAACCCTAATCGCTCTAGTTTTTGCCCAAATTTCAGATCTAAGAAGACGTTGTTTGGGCTGATATAGAAATTCATCTCCAAAAGCCGTATCCTTGGATTTGAAATTTAGAGGAAAAGTAGAGCAATGATGTGGAAATGCCACGTAAGATCACCAAGGGCGATTTTAGACGGACGATTAACGAGGGCAGATTTGGGATTTAAGTAAAAGTTGGTGATTTTTATGAGACAAAAAAAAAATTTAGGGTAAAATTGGAACTAGACCTTAAGTTGGGGCATTTTTTATGAGACAAAATTTTTTTTAGGGTAGAATTGAGATTGGACCTAAAGTTGGGGTTTTTTATAAGATAAAAAAAAAATTATGGTATAATTGGGACTGGAGCTAAAATTAGGCATTTTTTTTTTATGGTAATAGGCTGTTTTTACAATGTAGTACGCAAACTTTTGAGTTATACAATTAAGTCCTTAAACTTGTAAATTTTTCCAATCAAGTCCTTTTATCTCCATTTCTAGCAAATTAAAGATGATGAGCAATGGCTGTCAGTCGAAAGCGTGGTTAAAGAGTGGAATGAAAAGCTATTAAGGTAGCCATCTTCTGCTTGCTTCGTCTGGTCGATTACAAGATGGATTATGATTATAAAATTTGATCCAAATAGCAAAAACTATTAAATAAATGTATTGCAAATAAATTACCCTCGGACATATGAGAGAGAGAGAGAGAGAGAGAGAGAGAGAGAGAGAGAGAGAGAGAGAGAGAGAGAGAGAGAGAGAGAGAGAGATGGATTTTGGAGTGTATATAAATTTATTTATTATTCGATGAGCTTTTAGACAAATACATCAAAGCCATATGCCATTTCAATCTCTAGGGTGAGACTTTAGTGCATCGGCTTTTGCCTTTGGAGTGAATCTTGAACGAAACATAGGTGGATATTGGCAAGCACATAAGAAACCGTCACATCGACAATATCTCGGGTCTCCACAATCACTCACAGTCTTGCATCGATGGGTGACGTTTCGCGCTTCAATCATCACTTGAGAACCTACACCAAATAACACATGCACATCGGATTAAACCACAAGCATTTGCACTAATGCATGCCATTTTTATCTTTATGTGTGTGAGAGAGAGAGAGAGAGAGAGAGAGAGAGAGAGAGAGAGAGAGAGAGAGAGAGAGAGAGAGAGAGAGAGAGAGAGAGAGAGACCTATTGCAATGACCAAAAACATGAGAAACAGGATCGACTTCGATGAAAATGTCTTCATTATCTTTGAAAGGAGGATTACAGATGATAAACAGGCAAATTTGATTAATCTTGTTTGCTTCTGATGAGGTTTGCTTTGCCAATCCCCACTACGTACCTATATATACAAACTTGATGTAAATGCGAATTAAAAGCTCACGGTATATCACGGATTTCGTCTTGGATCCTCATTAATTTAGCTCAGATATACTTACTCCATGTGTAACAAATTGTCATATTTTATTTCCTCAATTAAATTAGACTATTAAAGTGAAGTGCAATCTATGGACATTAAAGACGCGCCCAAATATCTTTCCTTTTATTCGCATAAACAACCATAAAAGAAATTATAAAAAAGAACAGATCTGAAAATATTACTATATGCTCTAGATATATGTATCTCTATGTATCTCTTTTTTACATACTACTTGGGAAAATTATCCAATAAGTCCTAAACCTATTACATTTACCAATTCAATCATAAACCTTTCAATTTAGTTAATGTTTAATTAGTAGAATTAAGCCAGTAGACTGTTAGCATGGGAGAGTAAACATAGGCTTATATTAAAGCCGAACCACTATAAACTCTGTGTGTAATTGCTTGCTAGATACGTTGCACGGCACTACTTGAATATTATCAGAACTTGCTCATATACATATTATGTTTTACTTAGTTACTCTCCTATCAAACTTGGCACTATTAATTCCACACTACTTTGCCAAGATTTCTATATACATATTGTTAGCCAGGTTTAACTACTATATAACATGCATTTAAAACTGTATTATGAAATTAAACTATGACATAAGCTACACAAACCTCAACCTTACCTTAATTAAGTTTACCAGGACTCCCATGAGGAATTAAAGCAAAGGAAAGTTAGTCGGTGATGCTCGGTGGACTGCCGATGCAAAGGAAAGATCACCAGTGAACTGAAGGAGGATTGACGTCGCTAGGAGCTATGCTGCGAGCGATAGCAACTGGGCAGTTATGAGCGAAGGTTGAAAGACGAGGACTTGGTGTAGTGGGAGAGGCAGAAAAATCATTAGGATCACTAGTGACTCGCTAGTAGATGTTGGGAGGACCTACAAGGAGCAGGCAGAATTGCTAGGCTTCACCAGAAGTGTTGCACGGATTATTTGGAGACTCGCTGGTGATGTTGGATCGCTGCCGGCGCTGCTAGAAGCTTGATGAAATCGCTGGGAGTGCTGTGGAGCTTGTCGGGATGGCAAGAACTCGCCAGGAACTGCTAGGCGAGCTTGATACGATGGCAAGGTTTGCTTGGCGTCGCTGGCAACGATTGGGCGTGTTGCGAGAGTTGTTGAACGAGAGGGAAATGGCAGTAGGAACTACTAGGCGGTTGTGTAGGAGTTAGGACGTGAGCTGTGGCGATGACATGCATGATGGTAGGAGCTTGTCGAGTGGCGGGTGAGTAAGCATCAAGAGAAAGAAAGATCTTTATTATTTGCTTTGTGTGTATTTCGTATGTGTTGCGTCCTACGTCTCTTGAATAATGTGTTTATATAGCCCTAGGTTTCGGGCTCTCTTACAAGAACAACGGATCTCTCACTTTCGTAATTTAGATCAAACAAATACATGATCTATTCAAGCAAGGAAATTACAATATCTCCCTTATGGTAGAAATTTTGTGGTATATGGCCTCATGGCTTCCCAAGTTTGATAAAAAATCAACTTTCCTAGTTTAGAACACCCCCATGTGCTATGCACATAAGCCACGTTTGGTCATCTCGATTTCTAACCATGATATGATTGAATAAGATAGGATATGAAATTAAAGGATTTGCTAGATCCTATTTACTATTTGGCAAATCTCAGTAATAAAGCCGAATGTTTTCACATATTACCATGTTCATTATTTTTTGTGAATGTCAACCTAAAAATTGCACAAACAAAAATGATAAAAATTTCTCACAACACTCTTACCTACTTCATTTTTATTTTCTTTTTTATTTTTTATTTTTCCATCACTTTTTAATTATTTTCTTTTTTATTTCTTTTTTCCCTTCCATCATTCTCTAATAAAATTTTATTAAATAGTAAACTATACAAATATACCTAAAATACATAATAAATATAAATACTAAATGTATTTATATATCTATGAAATTTATATCATAAGATAGAAAGATAAATGAATATATAAATAAAATCAAGAATAAATAAAAACGAATTTATTGTTATTTTGAATTTTTTATATTAAAATTCAAATATTATTTATAATCAAATATTATTATCAAGTTTGTTATTTGAGAAAAATAGCTTTTATATTATGGATATTAGAAATCCTATCCACATTTATCCCACTTCCTCCATGGGATAATTTTATCCGGCCTATATTCCTCTTATATTCAACTTTATCCTATCTTGGGTAAACACAAACATGGAATATGATCACATCTATCATATCCTGAATTTTATCCCGACTACCAAATATAGCTAGAGGGATTTTCGGCCACTGTGGACAATATTAGGGCTTGGCCGAATTTTAGAGGGTCTAGCTCTTGTGGTCTTAGTTTTATAAATTTAATTAAGATTATGGCCTTCCTTCTTAAACCTACGCAACAATTGGGCTAAATCCAAGACAATTTATGACCGGACTGACTTAAATGCAATTTATGTAAAAATATTATTATTAAATGAAAGAAGTTCCTTCTGACCCAAAAAAATGGACTTTTCGATTGCCTATAATGCAAATGTGAACCTAGTTAATGATATTTTTATGCTATAAATGATTAATAATGATTGCCAAAATTTAGGCATTATCATAATCGACATAGATGGTGCTTGTAGTAAGGTGGAGGCTGTGAAGTCAACAATTGCCGTAAATGTTGAGTTTGATCATGTACATGTTCGATCTCATAATCGATATGGATGCAACCGTGGTTTTGTTTTGTTTGTAATTGAGGAAAATCCTTGTGGAGTAGTTAAAGGTGAAAGTGGAGTTGGTATTTTGATGAAATTCATGGTTATTGCGAAGTTCAAGCGCGACTTGGACTTTGAAGATGTCCGTGGTAGTTGAAGAGCCCATGATGGGCTATGGGAGATTAACAACAAAATTCAAAATTTTAAAGTGATTGTGACTTGGCTTAAACTTCGAGCCAAGGTGGAGATTGTTGAAAATGTGCCTCGAGTTTGAGCCCGAAAAGGAAACTTTCCAAATCCAAGTAGTTTTCCTAATTTGAATAGATTTCCTATATTAAATGGTTTCATAGTTGGAGTAGGTTTCATTAAAAGAGGTTTCTTATTTTGGATCATGCTCTTGTCTTTATATAAGAAGCGAGTCTTTAAGATGAAGAGTATCAAATAGGCCGTTTCTTCATGAATTACACGTAGAAGCAATTTGAGAGTATTAAAGCCAATGAAGTCTTTTGAGTAGGAATTGTGAATTTCTCTGTTAGATGGAGAAATTATTTCGTGAGGAATTGTGGGTCTAAACATTATGTTAGTTGTTGGATATAATTGTGGTTCTGAAACATTGAGAGTGTTTGAGTAACTCGAGCGTAGTTGTACTCTCCGTTATATCACTTGATTTATAGTAAAATTCTTTGTTACTCTCACCATGGACATACTTATACTAACCAAATCACGTAAATCTGGAGTTTGATATATTTTCTTGTTCTATTTATTTTATTGTTTGATCACTTGTTTTTGCAATAAAATTGATTATGGTAATGAATAAAGTAACCACAAATCAAAATTGACATCCATGATCGGGGAAAAAAATAAAAGGATAAAATGAAACATACATTTCTTGTTAAATTGGTTTTAGGAGTAACTTTTCTTTGTGGCTTCTCTTTTTATTTCTTGCAGTCTAAAATCAGACATTTATTCAATGTTTAGGCATTATAGATGGAAAATTTACGACGGCCATTTACTTTGGTTCAAACACTATCCTGAACTCGGTTCAAAAGTCTTTTCTGGGTAAACTTTATAGAAGTCTTCTTGTTATAGACATATATACTCAAAGTTACGTTAAGCAGGTTTAGATTGACTTTTTCTTTTGTATCTTTGCTTAATCAAAATCTTGCGGCTCCTGGAAATTTCTTTTAATCGAAAACACCTAGAAGTAGCATAACATAAAAAAAGTTGATACGTATGTGAATATATATAAATATATATGTATATATATTCATAATTTTTTAAATTTGGATAACTTTTTAAATTTTTGCAATGAGAAAGTAACATTGTAGATGCTAACATTGCAGATGCTTTTTAGTTAACATTGCATATGCTTTTGATTGATGGCAAACAAATATTGACCATTTCCCTTATAAAGTAGTTACCGCTCATGTGTGACTACCTATGAGATTGTCTAGGTGGAGTCAATAGCCTCAAAAGCCTTGCCAAGTAACATTCCACATATCAATATTAACATTCCTAACATCAAAACCCCTAAGATCCCTTTTTTCTTTCTCTCAAAGCTGAGATTTTCAACTTTATTGACTTCTTAGGAACCCTCGCTACATTTTATCAGTTTTTTTAACGGGAAATGTACATATTCAGCTCTTAAACTTTTTAAATTGTTATTATAATGTAGTCAGCAAACGGGTGAGTTATGCAATCAAGTCCTCTTATCTCCATTTCTAGCAAATTGAAGATGATGAGCTATGGCTGTCAGTCGACAGCATGATTGGAAATGATAAATGTTAAAAATGAAATGAAAAGCTATTGAAAGTTGCTTAAATCTTTGTATCTTGCTTAATGGTACTGCCGGTTTAATTGACAAATATTGGTTGACAACAGTGGCATTTGTTTTTCGACATCACTCAACGTCCATATACCCAAAAGTAGAGACCAAGAGGGTTGATTTAGAAAAGCTTTACAAGTTCAAGAATGCCGAAATTTACAAATTTGAGGACCGAAGTGGAAAAATAATGTAATTTAAAGGACCAAATATCCTTTTTCCCATATTTAATTCATGTGCTTCTTCTGCTAGCTTCGTCTGGTCGATTACAAGTTGGTTTATGATTATCTATAACTATCCATATAGCCATTGAAGCAAAAACTGCTAAATAAATATATTAGAAATGAATTTACCTTTTGTTTTCCCACCATTTTTTCTAC